TTCCCACTTGTGACGAATGCAGCAATCGATTTTTTTTTTTTTTTTTTGCATGCTAGTTAACATTCGTGGCAGCCAGCTGTTGGCTCTCACGCTGGCCAATAGAATCTTCCTGCCTATTCGTGGCAGCCAGCTATCGGCTCTCACTCTGGCCAGTAGAAAATGACCGCAAACTACATGAAAACTGCCGTAGAAGCATGAAAAAAATCGATTATTTCTACTATCGATGGGAGTTGGGAAATGCAAAGTCGGTCTTGGCCTTCCCGCTAACTTGGAGCATGTGCATATAAATTGTGGTGCAAAACCGTCGAAAATTGCGGTGCAAAACCGTCGAAAATTGCGGCCGTGCATTCGCTACACACACACACACACATCCTGCCTTTTATAGAAAGAGATACATGGAACAAAATAAATCCTACATATGCGTTTATGAAGTCCATCAGAGGACGAAAATCATCGGCTAATATAGTTTTTCCTTTTGACTTTTTTTTCGTATTGTTCCTCTACAAATACACTCTGTCTGAAAATAGTTTACATATATATTGTGGGTGTTTGCTTTTATACGTGTGTTTGTGTATATGTTCGTGTATGTGTGTATATTTATATTAATATTGTTAATAATATCATTATTTTCTACACGGAAATATACTGTTTTTATTTTTTTAAACTTAGGCGGAGGTGGGGTCGATATTTTTCCCCCTGACCAGCTCCCTCAACATACCTCACTAGGTATCCATTTATGCGTAGCGTATCTTGGGCAAAGTCGACCGAGCGGAGACCATCCATCTTCAGATTAGACCACAGACGATATCCTCCAACTTGAACTCACACCATTGTCACCGATACGTTTCATCGGGGTACTCTCTGCCATGACAGTTGATTTCAATCTAGGAAGCTATCCATTCAGCAATACGGTATCATAATTATCCTATATATACTACCAGTAGTTCAGGGGCACTTCCAGGTGGTGTAGTGGTTACCAAGCATGTTTCGCTAGAGCCATTACGACTTAGTAGTGAGTTCAATCCTCACTGGGTGCTTCACACTTTGGATCTTGTGCTACATCTAAGCTACGCTTGGAAAATCCTTATACTACCAGTAGTTCAGTACCACGTGCAGATTTGTCTTTCAGCCGGTCGAAAATTATAATCTGACACCAAACAGTGTTATTATTGCAAGAGGTTTTCCGTATAATAAAAAGACGTCGCAAAGACTATTTTTTTATGAGGAACGAAAAAAAAAACAACCTCAAGTTTTGGTGTAATAATATCGACGTCAGTGTTTCACGTTGGTCGCGTGGACTGGGCAATTTATGTCCTTCCCCCATATGTGCCTATATGAGTACCCCACTTAGAAACGACCTTGTGTCACATTCTATCTGAGTAGGAAGATCAGGTAGAGAAACGCATTCTCGGACTTCGAGCAGAGATCAAAGCGTAGTATGTAGTAGCTGTTCTTCTCATTTGAGAAGGCACCTGATATCGGATTCCAATCCGGTGGCCGCACTGAGCTAAGAGAAGTGGGGTCGGTGTATCGACGCCAGCGTCGTGGTGACTGGCTAGTTTTTGTCCTGTGCTAATATGGTGATTTTTCTAAAGCTTATATGTGACACAAGTATGAGGCACCCAGTGAGGATCGAACACTATTCAGTCGTAATTGTTCAAGTGAGACAAGCTTGCTAACCATTGCACGTCGTCGAAGTGCCCAAAATGATTTTCTAAGCGCAGCTTAGATGTGGCACAAGGCCGAAAGTGTAGAGCACCCAGTGAGGATCAAACTCACTACTTAGTCGTAATTGATCGAGCATGACAAACTTGCTAACTATTATACCACGTTGAAGTGTCCAACCTTTGTTCATATGTTCGCATGACCTTGTATCATATTTTTCCTTTGTAGGAAGATCGGGTAAATCCCTTATCAAATACGTTTGTGTAATCTAGGAAGCATATGTATACGTATTTGAGTATTTGTCTTGCTTGTTCTAGGCACTGGAAAGAAAAAAGGCGAATATTTCGAATATAATTTTTGTATGCCGGTTGGCCGGGATGCCTGCCTTTTATTTCCATTAAGATTGGCAAAATATAAAATTAACCTCGTTTCGTTGCTTTGTCCTTGCTGATATTAATACGCGGGCATTTGGCTTTTGGGGAAATTTCCCAACTGATATATTCTCTCAAGTCTGGAAATAGTCTCAGAATTTCAGAACTGGTCAAGTCTGTCAAGTTTTGATCGTTTGAAATTCTTGCACATGTTTAATCATTTTGCCTTTAGATGATCAGTACTGGATAGTTGCATTTCGGCTGCTTTTTGCTTTGAATATCATTAGAATCATCACATATGAAGAAAATTTTGTGACCCTACAAGACAATTCAGTCGAATTAATGCAGCTTCTAATAACGGTGTTTCTCTTTTTTTAGTGTGAATTCTTAAATATTAAAACAATTTGCAAAATATAAGAAAATTGTAGTATTTAAAAACATACCCAGTCCCTTTTGTACGTTAAAATACAGGGTAACAAATATCAATTTGCCTTGCATTTATTAGAAAATAATGATCTAGATTTCTATTTCGATGATTTTTCAGGTGTTTTGGAAGGTCCCATAAACGATTTTTAAACGGGTTACATGCAAAATTTAAGCTATTTTGGGGAACTTTGTGCTATTCACTGAAGACCGGGGTTTCTAAAACCTTATTTTTTAAAATTAGTAATGCGACAGTTTTATTTTAATCTTCCTATGACGTACACATTTTCATTAATACAGTTCCATAATTAATCTGATAATTCTTCAAAGAGCTTAAAAACTCTAAATGTCCGTGGACTATATTGTGCGAGCCCCGTGTGTGTCTTCTCCGGTTCCGGATTCAAAGTAGCCCTTTTTATTAGTGGCTTAAGATTCCAATCTACTTTACTGTTTAACACAAAGATGGTGGAGGAAGGAGATGGATTTGCCAAGGGAATTAGAACGAACATGAATGCTTTTCGTTTTCATTTAGAAGATAAACAGCAAATAATACTAAACTCTGTTTTTTTGTTATAACTAACAAATGAATAAATGTCAAAACTAAGTTTCGTGCGACACAAAATCACAAATATACTAATATATTCAAAACCAGCTAGCATTGCACTTTCAGACCCCTTCTCAGCACTTGGTTCAATTCTGTAATCAGTTGTACAGTAAGTCCTCACATAACGTTATTTCGCTAATTATCGATGAGTAAAAACAATGGAATAAACCTAAAAACTGTAGATCGTATTTATCGGCATATTACATGCACTACCTAAAAAAAACAAAAACAGGCGTCCTTGAGTCTCCCGGTAGGGTAATTTCCTCCCTAACATTCACTACTGTTAGCTATAATTCTGCTCTCAACTGTCACTTTTACCTAAACTACATTAATAACATTGTTTATTAAAGAGACCTTGATGCCTCTGCTGCTACTACTATCACTATCATCAGAACTATAGTAGGACTCACAGAAGCAAGGTACCGGCGACGTTCGGCGTTACTAGCTGATTCATTATACCTAAATATGTCTATTCACTCCTATGAGTTGGAAAGTACAGAAGAAAGATATGTAACTGAAAGGAAATACTATTCATGATAAAAAAAAATAATCTGGGGAAACACCATTAAAGCCACGGATAAATAGGTCCGCCATAATAAAGGGCCTCAGAAGAATTGACTTTTGTCTAGTTGGGTATATACATATAGGGAGGACACGCTTTGTAAGGCTGCTTGGTGCAGCGAGATACGATATTGACGGTGCTGGTTTGCATTTTACAATTTTTACCCTCAAGAATATGACCGTTAGAGATTAAGCGACGCCATTTGCTAGAAAATAAAATTGACGCTAAGAAGCTGAGGAACAACGGTTTTTGGCCTGACAACTACGGTACGTGTCTGTTGACAGCAAGAAGATCGATAAAAAAAACATCTGAAAAAGGTCATCTTTGTTGGCCAGCAGGCATATTGGCCTGAAATTGAGAATGACTTAAAAACACGTGAGAGGAATTCAGGGTGATATGCCTTTAGTAAAATAATTTAATGAGGCGAGTAGATTAACAAAAGAACGAAGGATTCAGTGACTTTCAGAATCTGAAGTTTGGCTTAGAACACGCCACCTGCTTCAAATGCGGAAGGGTAAGGCAATTCTCCCAAAGGTCGAGTTATAGGCGAATCTTCTCTGACTTGGGTATAAACATGTCCGGTGTCTCAGATTTTGACACTGCTGTAAACTGGATTTTTTTTTTTTTTTTTTTTTGACTCTGGTGTAAACCGAACCAGTCCAGTGATTTTTTTTTTTTTTTTTTTTTTTTTTTTTTTAACTTTGGTGTAAACCAGATCAGTGTCACGCTTTTATGGACTCTTGTGTAAGCTGGATCCGTGTCTACCTTTTTCTGACTCTAACGTAAACCGTTACTTGTGAAATTAACAAAACAAGTTGGAACAGATAGATGGAGGTAAAAGTAGTACAATGATGTTGTAGGGATGCAGAAGATGATTTTTTTTTTTTATAGAAATAATTTAATGTTGTCTCAAGGGGTCCTTAAATGTCACGTGATAACCCGTTGGTGGGAGTAATCAGTTGTTGCTTGGCTTCCCACGAAGGGCGACGCACGTCCAATGTTCAAAAGAGAAACCGATGAGATACCATAGGAGTGTGCCGTGCCCCTTTTAGAGGCGTTAAAGTAAGACATTCATTTCTTTTCTCCCCTTCATATATTGCCTTTTTACATATGCTTTAATTTATCTCGCTGACACCATTTGTGACTTAGATCTATACTGAATATTTACTATTACTTATATAAGTGTACTCGTGTTTTGTTTAACTCATTTTGGAAATTCATTTCTCTGGGTTATTCTAGTTCTTTCGTTTCGTTAAGGCGTTAGTGTACTATGGACATACTAATGTCTGTTACGGGCCTTGGAGAGAGAAGAGTAAGATATTTTCTGTTTTCCAAGCACCAACCAAGTATTGCTGAAAGCAATAAAGACAGAATGATGGAGAGAGCCGTGACCACCCGTCCCGAAGGAGCTTTGCCCCGAGAGAAAGAAGTCAGTAAGTTTGTGTGATTATAAAACCTGCAATAACCACGCAATGTGAAAATCTTCAAACAGCCCGCATCGCGTTAAAAAGAACATTCCATATCTCCAATAAGATTTGTGTTCGATATTTATTTTTAATTAGTTTGATTGGGCGAAGATGGCCAACAGTCTAAGATAACGTCAAAGTTTTCTGCAGGGAAAGAAAACTTCTTACATCACCTCCCTACACACACACACACACACACACACACACACACACTTATTACCATCCTCTTGGCACACCCCACTACGTTGGGTGGTGTTCTCTGTTCGTTTCTTGACTGTCGCCAACAGCGACTACTTTTATCTTCATTTCTAGTTGTCGTTTGAATGGTTGACGTAGTTGTCGTTTTCATTTCCGCCATTGCAGAACTTACCAAAAATTATCTTTTCATATTTTTAGCCGGAGGATAATCTGACGGCGATTTTAGTGCCATTGTTGTTGTCCTTTTTTTTTTCTCTCTCTCTCTCTCTCTCTCTTTTCTCTTTAAGATTTTCCTCTTGACATTTTTTTTTCTATTTTACTTTTACGATTGTTTTCTTTTCTCTGTTTTGCAATTTTTCCCCCATGTTTTTTTTTCTTTCACTCTGAAACCTTTTTCCTCGGTTATTGTCGGTGTTAACTGTTGTTGTTGTTTTTGTTTTTTTTTGTTTTTTGTTTTTTTACCGGATCTGGCTATCTTTCTCTCTCACGCTCTTTCATTTATTTTGATCTCTCACTCACTCTCTCGATTATTTTCTTTACCGATCCCTCTCGACACATGTTCTCTCTCTCTGTGTGATCTCCCTGTGCTCTCAATCCTCACTCTCATTCTCTCTGCTCTCTCTCTCTCTCTCCCGTGCTTTTACCCCTGACAACCTCGCTAAACTTCTCTCTCTCTCTCTCTCATATTTTATTGTGATTCGTGTTTCTCTACTTGTTCTGTCTCTCAAGTTTCCATCTATTATTTTCAATTTTGTATCTGTATGAATTCCCCTTTCTCTCGATATATGATCTTTTTGTGTCTCTCTCTCAAATATGTGAGTGTCTGTTTCTGTATATTTCTGCGTATGTTCCTTCCTAGCTCAACGATCTCGAATAATTTCCTTGTTGTTATTGGGAACTCGTAGGTTTGGCTGGAGGCTACAAATGTACAAAAGAGGAAGCGTGTGATGGAAAACAAGGAAATAGGACGAACTCAAAGAATGGTGAGATAGAATAAGACGAAATAAAGTATTTGCTCTTATCAGCGAAATTCTTAATATGAATAACTGAAAGAAACGTGATTCGCTCCAGGTGCAATTTTTTACCTTGTTTCGGTAAAGAATGTGCTTCAGCAATCCCTTTGCATATATGAAATTAAGTCATATAACATAGACATACAAATGTAAAAGATAGTTAGACAGACGTCCACACAAATTTTTACATACAACGCAGAAGAATATACCTACTTTCAATTGAAAATAGACGCATGCGCACTTGAAAGAAATAGTCGTCTGTATATCATGCGTCTGCATGCATTTCGATTTTTCTTGAACATTCTCACTCCAGTTTTTTTTTTTGTTATTTAATAAACTCTATTTAAAAAGAGAGGGAACCGCTGAGGATTGAGCTCACAAGTAATTAATATTTTTAAAAACTTAATATTTACTCAATAAATAAAGCTCAAGAATAACTACCTTTTTAGAATGTTACGGAATGAGGTATGTAATATGAATGTAAAATTAAGAAGTGAACATTATAAGGATAGAGAGGATAGATAACGATTGACTGTAAAACTTGATGTTATTGGATTGGAGGGGTCGATTACCAGCGTGCGGCGCCTTTTGCAAAGTGCCTGAAAACCATACCACGGGTTGACCCAAATCTTGTGAGTGAAATTGGGTAAACTGAACGCTTGGCTGCCGTTGATAGCTGTGCTACCACAAAGTCACAAGGCATCGTGGCCGACGGCTTGAGCGTGCTGGCCTTGTTCAAATTGTTTGATCACGCTAGATAAGACGCTCTTTCTCAGAAACTGTAACTAAGTTCTGCAATATAAACCACAGGTGGGCTCTGTGGGTGTTGAATAAACACAAATGCGTCTGCAATAGGGAATGGCTAGCCACCCTAGTAAACAGGTATCCTCGAACACAGTGGCCAGCTATAATATATATATATATATATATATTATATATATATATATATATATATATATATATATATATATATATATATATATATATATATATATATATATATATATATATATATATATATATATATATATATATATATATATATATATATTATATATATATATATAATATATATATATATATATATATATATATATATATATATATATATATATATATATATATATATATATTATATATATATATATATATATATATATATATATATATATAATATATATATATATTTTTATATATATATATATATATATATATATATATATAATCCTGTCCTGCCTTCCATTTACAAAAGCTCGTTAGGTAGTTTATGCATCGTTTTCCTCTTACCTTCAATGTCCTCTGAGTGTCAAATTTTCCAAGCCCTCTTTCCTCATTATGTTCACTAGAAATTTCAACTGTCTCTTTCTGATGTTAAGTAAAAAAAATATCTTATTTTTTGCCATTTTATGTAAACTTCCTTGTTGCTCACATATTTTCTCCATGATATCAGCATTATTCTGTAGAACCACACTTTTGTCACTTGAAGTCTCTTCATCTGTGAGGATGTTTTCCAATATTCACCTCTATATAGAAGGATTGATATGAAATAACAGTTCAGTACTCTATATTTATTTTCTTTTTTCTTTTTTTTTTTAACGAAATTTTCCTGTTTATTAATTTACTCAGCTTTTGGAAATCATCTTTTGCTATCCCAGAGTGCTTTTGGATTTCTGTATCACACCTTCCGTCCTCTGTGAAAACACTTCCCAGATATTTAAATTGTTTTACTTGCTTGATTTTGATATCTCCGATTCGTAATTTGCACGTTAGACTGTTCTTTTTACTGACAACCATACATTGCCGTCTTGAAATTGTTGTTTGCAAGAAGACAGACAGTTGATGGTATTTCCAAAAGAGAACATAATTAATTGACCTGCATTCGTGTGGCAAAATGTTTTTTTAATAAATACTGTATAAGCTTAGTCTGTAGATCATTCACCCGATGTATCCAATAAAGCCGCGATTATTTCTTTTCGATAGCGCGTCTTTAATTTTGCTCTGAGAATTGTTATTGTGATAATGTGTTGGTTATGTAACATGCTTCATTGTTTCAGCTCGGCAAGGTTGTGTTTTCACCCTGTTTAAAATAGTTTTAAAGATGTCCACGAAATATCTTCGATCAGCTCAGCAAAACTATATTTTCGATCTTTAACCTTACTGAACGGCCGTGGTATTAAAAAAAAAACCGTATCGTACTTTTTAAAAATATACAAAAAAAAAAAAAAAAGTTTTCCTTGCACAGGTGTAATATTTCCTAAATATTAAACCGGGGAGTTGACATTCTATTCACCACTGAATATTTATGATTTCTATGTCACCACAAAAATGAAAAATTACGATATAGAAAAGTGTTAGAGAAACACACGTACACACAGGATCTAAAATATTACTAACTTTTTCCGCAGCCACGATTTCTACCAACGAATGTTTCCTCAGGCAGTGAAAAAAAGGTCAATTGTTTTTCTGTCACTTCATTTATACACTTGTCTGTAAAAACTGTGTGTGTGTATATATATATATATATATATATATATATATATATATATATATATATAAATATATAAATTTGTCACTTAGATGATGGATGTTACATTCAGCAGCCTTCGTTCTATAAACGGACCCTCCAGCAATCGCCCCTGTCCACTCATCAGGGGATATTATATATAATATTAGGGGAAAATCTTATGTCAAAGTGGAAAAAGTGTATTTCTGATGCGTTTCTTTTCCTTTTCCCCTTTGTCATACAATTTTCCCAATATTGTTTTGATATATAAGAATATATATATATATATATATATATATATATATATATATATATATATATATATATATATATATATGGTGGACTTTCGCGTCGTATTAGACGTATCAGGATCAAGCAGGAACCGACTGCCCAGACACCAGCACATATGATTTAATTAAAGAGGCTTTGTGCAGAACCAATCACGCTTTTTGTAGGGCCGAATACAGAGACCTGGTGCACTACGTACCACAAAGTCCTTAAATGACCCTTCGCAGGTTTTGAATTCAGTGTTGGCTTTCTCAGATAGAACCCAGTCTGTCCTGCTATTTACCCATAGCTGGTTGGAGGGGGTGGTAGGAGAAGAGGATTAATACCTTTCCCAAGGGTATTAGCACGTAAGTGAATGTAATGGATTTGACTTGAATTCGAACACGGCTCTTCAATTTCTCAATCCGAGCCGCTATCTACTATTTCACCGTACCTCCTATATAACACGAAAATAAAAATATCATTATATACAATAAACACAAAATTTCTACGCTTTTATATATATGTGTGTGTGTGAGAGAGAGAGAAATAGAAGCAGTATCGATATAGAAATCACTATATTGCATAGTGACTGTCATTTTTCCCTTTTCTCCATGACCTGCGTTTAATAGGAGCTATATGCTCTAACATCTTCACAAACTGCCTAACCCAAGATTCTGATATTCCTAAATCAATATTTTTGTTACTTTATCTGGGCTGTGTTATGTGAAGCGGTGTTTCATGGGATCATGAAACTAAGGATGGAATATATTTTTAAATAACAAAAGTTTAACCTGTTCTCCATTGCTGTTTGAGGTTTCCGTTTCAAAGGGTAGCCTTAAAATCCCCACTAAAGCACAGTTTTTGTGGGTTTTTCTAAAATAAAGTTTATTTAATCTTGTGTAAAAATTCTCTTCTAAAACAACACCTTTTTTAGTTGGGTCATAAACTGATATCACTCTGTTGTTCATGACTGCAAGATCAATGTCTACAACCACGAGTCTTTCTGACTGGTGTACAATATTGTTTATTACAATTCATGGTCATCTGCGCCTTGCAATTCCATCTCCATCTTGTTTTTTCTCCTTGTGGCCAATCCAAATAACTTATCCTTTATAGTTTCGAGTAATGTTTGCTTTCTTACTACCCTTTTCAGTCCTTGTTCTGACAACCATTTACACGGGATTGTTAGGTAGATTACTCGCTATTTGTCATTGTTTGTCTTGCCTTTAATATGTCCTGTGAGTTTCAAATTCTCCAAAACGTCTTTCCTCAATATGTGTCCAAGAACTTCCAACTGTCTCTTTCTTATTGTAAGCATAAGTGTCGTTTCCTTCTCTGTTTTTATTAAAATTTCCATATTGCTCAAATGTTTCGCCCAAGGAATTATCAGCATTCTTCCCACGTCTCTGTCGCCTGAAGTTTTCTTTTCATCTATGAGGAAATTGTCCTGCATTCACTTCCTTATAGGAGGATTGATAACAGTTAAGCACTATCAAATTGTGTAGAAGGTAGTTGAACGACTCCTGATAAATGAGTTTTGAGTTTTTTTATCTGGCTAATCTACTTCTCGCATCAAGACAGAAGCCATGTAAAACTTTCATTTGTTAAACTATGGAGATTTTAGGCATTGCGTTAATGAGAAACTATAAAAAAGAACAGAATGTTAGGTTCTAAACGTAGTAAAAAAAAAATGTGAAGCCGATCACTCGGCCTCGCTCAGCTCTAAACCAGGTTGTTTATTTTGAGCTCGTGAAAGGCATGGGTTGCTTTTTGGTCCGTCGTCCTTAAAATGCCATAAAGCTCCAAATAATGTCTTACATTATTTGAAACGATGCAGGTTTATCTATTTATTTTTTACCTTTTTACTTTTTATGGTAAATTTTCATTGGGTCTGGAATTAGTGTCGTCATCAAATGTGATAATTTGAAACGTAAATAAACCAAATGCTACTATGTAACAGCTTCATTTACAAGGCAAAAAAAATAATGATGAATGTATTAAGTATTTTTCCGTATTGAACTCATGAATACATATCTGTATTTTAAATATATACGTATATCAATATATTTAGGATTTGTAAACGAAGTGCGAACAAAAAGTTGTGGGATCGACGACACTAGTTCATATGAGCTGCGTTCTCTGGTACACTAAGACCCTTGGGAAATTTATAAATCAGTGTCCTCTTCCTCCAGTTCTATCTTAAATAGCAGGGTAGATTACACTCACTAGCCTTGGGCGGCAACTCATCTTGGAGAAAGAAAACTGAATTTCAAACCGTGGAGAAACCACTCCACGATCATGGCCATTCAGAGGTAATAACGAAAAGGAATCTAGAGAGCTATGTCATTTTAAAATATGCAAACAATTGTATAATTCGGTTGTCTGTTCCCGCTATGATATCTTTTTAGCCTTTCAAAAGATATGAGGAGCTATAATGAACTTTTATTTGTTACTATTGCAGCAGCAGCCTATTATAAAGCAACTCTACGCATTCAATTGAGTAACCAACCAGTCTGACCGAAAGTTACGCATAGAGCAATGTGACAAGCGATCATAAAAAAGAGAAAACAATTATATATATATATATATATGTGTGTGTGTGTGTGTGTAAGCAAATATATGGATATAGATCCGACAGTATGAAGAAAAATATATACGAAAAAAAACAAACAAAAATCCTTATATACAATTTATACTGTTTTAATGTTAATATATCAACGTCGGACGTTTCGGTCTAATAAACCATCTTCAGGACATATTCATAAATTATAACATTATCAATACAACATGACAAAGACGATGTACATAAGAACAAGACTTATCCAAACAAATAAAAACACACACACACACACACACACACACATATATATATATATATATATATGTGTGTGTGTGTGTGTAGGTAAATATATAGGCTGATGAGATAATTTCCAAAACAGAATAATGATAATAAATCATCAGACCATCAGACAAGATAGAAACACGAGAAAAATGTTAAAAATCGTAATTTTCTGACACATTCTTTCTCAAAGGAAAATAATTTTATAAAAATATCTCTCGATGAGAAAAGGACAAAGACGAGTCTGAAAATGTAAGAAGCATACGTGGACTCTATCTATCTATCTATCTATCTATCTATCCCCTTTACATAAATCACATAAATAGGCTATCGATAGATGTGTCAACACCTCATAAAAACATCCATCGCCGTGTTAAACAATGCTTTTTGTGGTATCTTAAACTAACAAGTAATTATCTGTTTTAATGCCCATTAATTTAACTTTAAATCAATTAATCTTCCTCAAATAAAGTTTAAGGAAAGTATATTTTATTTTTGAAAATTTTACAGTAAGAGAATTATGTTTTGTCGACAGATTTGTCAATATAGACAATTTTAGCGATTTTACGGATAATCAAAATAATTATTTCAATCAATTTAAATTCGGTTTGAAATACATCAAAGTATCTTCTTTATTCGAAATATTAAAGTTTAACTATTAGCTTGGAATTAACACTAAGATAAAAGCTTCAAGTTTTTTATTTTAAAATGCAATTTAAAACATCAGCATCGCTATTTTGGAGGTACATGCATGCATACATACATACATATATATAGTGGTGGTATCTTACTCGTTCGCGCGAACCGGTTGTTGGATTATCCGAAAATAATTTACTATATTAATAGCCGATGATCCAGGTAAAATGTTAGTTATGCTACACCCGTGCGCGCGCCTAGTAAAACCTCTACACTTGAGTCAAAAAGTATCACACTTCCGAACAGAAATATAAAAGAATTTCAGTCTGGAAATACGTTAATAAATAAACGTTTTCTATTAAATTATCAAAATGGTTTAATTCATTTTGATACTATAAAGTAATTTGTTTTCATTTTCAGATTGAAAATAAAATAAAAACAGGTTCCTAAAATTGCCTGCTTTTATAGAACCGGTTCCTAAAAAAATAGGATGCCACCACTCCCTCTCTCTCTCTCTCTCTCTATCTATATATATATATATATATATATATATATATATATATATATATATATATATATAAAAGAACATTAAGATATATAATCCGGTGTTCTTATAGATATTTTTTTTTTTTTAAAATAGTGCTCGATGTAAATTTACAGAACATTAATATTATAAATTAATTGATTTAAAATGTTTTTTTTCGCTTTTCACAGTTCTAACCATGTTTCAAAAATGGAAGCTAAAAGCCCCGAATTTAATTTTGTAATTAAATTAAAGACATTAGTTCCATTTCATCCTCATGCAATTTTTTGTAATTTTTTAAAATTACTGGTTTTTAAATACACAGCTAAAACAAAATTCACGTTTCCAAGGTTACAGATAAATCTATTTTGCTAGACTAGGGGTGTCTGGGTGTTCAATATGTCTATATTTTAATGTATCAGTTATTGCTACGTTTTGGTAGTGGGTAGGGATGCATTTTTCAATGAAATCTAACATCCATGAAAAGCGTGTCGTCTGGATTTTTTTTAAATTTTATTGTTAACGGCTAAAATTCTTACGGCATTTTTTTCCTTCGTATATTTAAAGAATTTCGGGGGGTGTTTAGGTAAGAATACTTTTTATTTAACTGTAAAAGATAAGATTCTGTAATTTTTTTTAGCTTCTCATAAAATGATTTTTTTTTCTTTTTACTTAGATGTATTATACTTATACATTTTCGATTTTGATTTTTCATATGCATTTTTGTTAATCCTTTGTATTTGCTCGTGCTTATTTTGTACTTATTTTCTGGAATACGATCTATAAATACTTCGGCGTATAAGACTTAAATAAAACTTTTAGTAGGTAATGTTTAGGTTTTTAAAAAAATGAAATTTTTTTGTTTTTATTTTTAAAAATAATGGCAGTTGTGATTTTTAGCTAAACGATTAATCTCAGATTATGGCCACCTAACCATATTTCAGTAGTCAGTTATGTGCCATGAGGGATATACGCTTAGGCGATCATGTATCGAAAGATACATGATTGACGAGACAGATTTTTTTTCCGCAGTTGGTTGCCATTTCTTTCTGCGGTAGACCAGTTACCATCCCGGCCTGTCCTGCTATTTACCCATAGCTGGAGGGAGAAGAAGAGGATTCATACCTTTCCCAAGGGTATTAGCATGTAAGTGAATGTAATGGATCTGATCGGAATTCGAACTCGGCTCTCTGATTTCTCAATCCGAGCCGCTATCCATTACTACAGTTTTTTAACCCTCATTTTCAATAAAAGTTAGGGACTGAAGACACACTCACACAATCAGACAGTAAATTCCTGACTTTCTCTCCATTTGGGTGTGCCTTTTTATCTTTCTGCATCATTCTTTCTGTGGCATGTCTGTCACTGCGCGCGCGTCTCCGTGTCTCTATATAAGTTTGTCCATCGTTCTCACTCGACCCACCTGTTTTTGCGTGACTGTTTTCTCTTTCTCTCCCCATTGTTTGTTTCTCTCTCTCTTTCTCTCTCTCTCTCTCTCTCTCTGCGTATGTGTGCGCGTCTCTCGCATGTTCCCGCGAACTGACACACATGAAGTCCTTCTCTTTCTTTTCTCTCTCTCTCTCCCTCTCTCTCTTAATCCGTCTTCTATTCAATTAATTCCTATTTCCTTCCCCGCTTCTCATTAATATGCAACTATGTGTATCAGATGATGAACCTTCGCTATTCTTCGCTTGAGTCTATTACTTAATTAGTCGCTCGGTCCAGTATTGTCTGTTGTCTTCTGTTTGTCCGCTTGTGGCCATCACAAATACCTGGACTCAGACAAGATTGGCACATCCGCGCTTGAGTGTTGCTTATTGGCATTAAGCGACATCGTTCACCATCTTCTGTCTTCATACCTTATAAATGACTTCACTTTCCGTTCTTTTGCCGATCTGACTTAATGTGAATGCATATTTATCAGGTGGTTGTACGTTTCGCTGAATTTGCATATACTATACAATGCGTCTCATATTAGTAACCACTTCATGTTATAACGAGATATGTAATACATACATATTGTATTAGAAAGGTTTAATTGCTGATTGATGTCAACACCTGCCGAGCTAACACAAAAGTAGGTTCGTTATATGAAGATGGAAACAATCGACAGCCGTTTGTATAAAAATGTTCTGAATTTCAAAGTCTTAAAATGGGCGATAAGATTTAATTCAATCTTAATCTGGAAAGGTCTCAGAAACGGATTCCAGTTAAATGTAGACAGTTGGGAAGTGGGGGTGTTCAGTCATATCTATGTTAGATGTGCGTAAGAAAGTTTTATTTAAGGCCACCGTCAGAATATTTACTTAATCTTTTTTTTTTTTTCGTAATTTTCGTCTGTTTTCTTACAAGATAACTGATGTTTGACGTCAGTGCATCGTGAAATTATCCGTTCGTATAACGGTGGAGTAATGGATAGCAGCTCGGATTGAGGAATCGGAGAGCCGAGTTCGAATTCCAGTCGAATCCATTAGATTCACTTACATGCTAATACCCTTGGGAAAAGTATGAATCCTCGTCTTTTCCCCAGCTATGGGTCAGATAGTAGGACAGACCGAGTTCTCTTGTCTTGGATGGCAACTGGTCTACCGCAGAAAGAAATGGCAACCTACTGCGGGAAAAAATCTGCCTCGTCAGCCATGCATCAAAAGATACATTATCGCCTAAGCGTGTATCACACATAGTACATAACTTACTGATGTGCCTAGGGAATTTTTTTATTTTACTTTATGTTCTGGCAATACTAGGCCCAACTGTCACTCAAGGTAGAAGGTTATTGAAGGGCTTAAGAGGCGGAGTATTATGAGGATATGTAGAATAGATAACAATTGATCCTTGACTCGAAAAGGTTAAGATGGAAGTGTTTAAAGAAGAGCACCTGCTGAAGACTGTTCCACAGATGAGCAATTCTTGAGAAGAGAGGAGGGAAAAGAAAGAATGGTAACTCGGAAGGGGAGAAAGAGAGAAGTGCGAGAAAAGAGGGAGGGGAACGAGAAAGGGAGATTGAAAAACTGAGTGTGTGTGAGGAGAGAAGTTCGTTGAAGATTCAGGACGACTCGGATTCATGTCTGATTAGGGAAGGGTTAGGATTATCTCAACGATTAGTGGCCCGTGTCAAGAGTTTACTCAGATTATGAATCTTTGGGACATTGTGGTAGCGAGGAAGTGCCGAAAAAAAAAAAAAAAAACACACAAGTTGTCCGGTTTTAAACTAAAGCGTGAGATATGTGTGACCGATGACGAGGTTTCTTGCAAGTCGTCACTTTGTCATAGTCTTGCCACACTGTGGGTATGTGCGTCTTTTTCTCTGTCAAACTTTGGGTTCCTTTTACTTGTTACTGTATTTTTCTTTTCTTCTATCCATTTCTCCTCTTTTTTTTTTTTTTTTTAACTTATGTTTTATGTTTGTGACGTCAATCTTACTTTTTTTTTTTTTCAAAAAAAATCGTCTGTTTCCCTATTCTTATTTTCGTAATATCGAAATTTCTCCTTCCCCTTATTTTTCCCTGATTCTGTTTTTTTTTTGTTTTTGTTTTTTTTTTTACTCTCGACCATCTCATTACTCTCTAAATTGCAGCTTTTTTTCGTTTCTTCCATTTTTTCTTCCTTCTTCAGACACAGTTCACCTTTTTTTCTTTTTTTTAAATTTTCTTTATCATTACAGTCCCTTTCATCACCTGCCATTAACTTAAAGCAGACGTGGTCGCTGCCATTTCTTTTAACCACGTTGTCTTCATCATTTGACGTTTCATCTTTCATCAATTCGTTTTTTTGATTTCTTATTTATTTACCTTTTTCTACATTAGTGTTTCATGCGGTAATTTTTTTTCCTCTCGTTATTGTCTCCTTTGAATTTATATGTTCACTCTCAATTCGGTTTGTTCCAACTCGACTGAAATTAATGGCTGGCACGGGTGACGACCACAGCGGCAAGATAGAACTATCATCGAAGATGATTATGAGAGAACGAAAAAAAGAAAATAACAAACTAACATTTTATCCAGTTGTAGAATAAAGTGAGGATTTATTTTGGTGGTGACAATGTAAGAAAAATATTTACGGAATTATTTAAATAAGTTAAAATAATCTGTTGAACAAAATTTTCTTAAAACTTAACCGAATTATTTAAACAAGTGAAGAAATAGTAAGTTTTTTGAATTTATTATTACTACAACTAATTTGCCTTTACTCTGTGTAGTACGATTTGTTCCCATCGAATCTCGACCAGAGACTTCAGGAGACAACTTCTTTGTATCCGAAGATGCGAACAAATGTGGTGTTATGCAATCAAAGAACAAAAAAAAAAAAATGTAATTGCTGTCACCACTGCATGGTGAGAAATCTACGTAAGATGAAAGCTTTTTTTTTTATTTTGCAATTGGCATATTTTCCCAAGAAACAAAATTTGATCTACATATTTGTTTGCTTCTTTTTTTAACATTTCAAAAGCTCCAGTAACAACAGATAACAGATAATGTTGTCTTGAGATGCCACATTTTACCGTTTTGTCTCGAGGTTCCTGTATTTACTTAGCTTCTCAAACGTTTTCATTCTTCTTTCTTCTTTTCTCTTCTTCTTTCTTCTTTTCTCTTCTTTTCTCCTCTTCTTTCTTTTCTTTCTTTTCTCTTCTTTCTTCTTTTCTCTTCTTTTCTTCTTTTTTCTCTTCTTTTCTTCTTTTTTTCTTTCTTTCTTTTTTCTTCTTCTCTCTTCTTTTTTTTTCTTCTCTCTTCTTTTTTCTTCTTCTTCTTCTTTTCTTTTTTTTTCTCTTCTTCTTTTTTCTTTTTCTTCTTTTCTTCTTCTTTTCTTTTCTTTTTTTCTTTTTCTTCTTCTTCTTTTTTCTTTTTTTTTCTTTCTTTTCTTTTTCTTTCTTCTTTTTTTTTCTTTTCTTCTTTTTTTTTTCTTTCTTCTTTTTTTTTCTTTTCTTCTTTTTTTTTTTCTCTTTTTTTTTTCTTTTCTTTTTTTTTTTTCTTTCTTTTTTTTTTCTCTTCTTTTTTTCTTTCTTTTTTTTTTCTTTTTTTCTTCTTCTTTTCTCTTCTTCTTTCTTTTTTTCTTTCTTTTTTTTTTTTTTTTTTTTTTCTTCTTTTTTCTTTTTTTTTTCTTCTTCTTTTTTTTTCTTTTTTCTTCTTTTCTTTTCTTTTTTTTTCTTTTCTCTTCTTCTTTTCTCTTTTCTTTTCTTCTTTTCTTTCTTTCTTTTCTTTTTCATTCTTCTTTTTTTTCTTTCTTTTTTTCTTTTCTTTCTTTCTTTTCTTCTTTTTTCTTTTTTCTTCTTTTCTTTTTTTTTTTTCTTTTTCTTTTCTTTTCTCTTTTCTTTTTCTTCTTTTCTTTTTTTCTTTTCTTTTTTTTCTTCTCTTTTTTTTTCTTTTCTTTTTTTTTTTCTTTTTTTCTTTTTTTCTTTTCTTTTTTTTCTCTTTTTTTCTTTTTCTTCTTTTTCTTTTTTCTTCTTCTTTTTCTTTTTTTTCTTCTTTTTTTCTTTTCTTTTCTTCTTTTTCTTTTCTTTTCTTTTCTCCTCTTTTTTCTTTTCTTTCTTTTTTTTTTTTTTCTTCTTTTTTTTTTTTTTTTTCTTTTTTTTTCTTTTTTTTTTTTTCTTTTTTCTTTTTTTCTTTTTTCTTTTTCTTTTTCTCTTCTTTTCTTTTTTTTTTCTTTTTTTTTTCTTTTCTCTTCTTTTCTTCTTTTCTTTTCTTTTTTCTTCTTTTTTTTTTTTTCTTTTTTCTTCTTTTCTCTTCGTCCTTCTTCTTTTTTTTTTCTTTTCTTTTTTCTTCTTTTCTTTTTCTTTTCTCTTTTTTCTTCTTTTCTTTTTTCTTCTTTTTCTTTTTCTTTTTTCTTTTTCTTTTTTTTTTCTTTTTTTTCTTTCTTCTTTTTTTCTTTTTTTTTTTTTTTTTCTTTCTTTTTTTCTTTTCTTTTTTTTTTTTTTTCTTCTTTTTTTTTTCTTCTTCTTTCTTCTTTTCTCTTCTTTTAAATTTTCTTTTTTTCTTTTCTTTTTTTCTCCTCTTTTTCTTTTCTTTTTTTTTTTTCTTTTTTTTCTTTTCTTCATTTCTTTCTTTTTTCTTTTTTATTTTTTTCTCTTCTTTTTTTCTTTTCTTTCTTTTTCTTTCTTTTCTTTTTTTTTTCTTCTTTTTTTCTTTTCTTTCTTCTTCTTTTCTTTTTTTTTTTTCTTTTTTCTTTTTTTTTATTTTTTCTTTCTTTTTTTTTCTTTTCTTCTTTTCTTTTTTTTTTTTTCTTCTTTCTTCTTTTCTTTTTTTTTTTTCTTTTTCTTTTTTTTTTCTTTCTTCTTTTCTTTTTTTTTCTTTCTTTTTTTTTTTTCTTTTTCTTCTTCTTTCTTTTTTTTTCTTCTTTTTTTTTATCTGTTTTTTTCTCTTATATTTATTAATATTTTCATCATTAACAATTGTTCTTCACCATTCTTCGTTTTTCGTGTCTAATAAGACGTAAATAATTAACTATTCAGTTTTTATCACGTGGAAAGATGGGAAAAGAGACTACTTAGTTTCGGTGTGAAAATGAAAGAAGGGAAGATAAAAGTTTTTTGAAGACTAATAAAACATGCTTTCTACACATTTTTTTTTAGTCAAAAAAACAGAGAAACGTTGGCGCCCGATAAAAGCGACATTATTCAGACGCAAAGTATCGAACGACGGGAGTCGAGTAAGGCAATCACCAAAAATCCAGTTATCATAAATAAAATAGCATTGCCTGCTGAATTATTTTAAAATTATTACGAAGAGAAATGTTCGTAAGACGGGGATTTGGATAGTAGCTATTATTATAATTATTAATATTAATTCAAATATTTTTCTCATGGTAGCGGATTACAGCTTGGTTTTAACGCCAGGTTCGCTGAAGTTAAGCAACGTTTCTGATTTGGTTATTTTATTTGATGGGTGATCGCTTTACTAATATAAGATAATATCAAATATTTATTTTTATATAACGGCTCGGAATTGGAAAGTTAATATAACGAACTCAAAATGTCTTTTGGAACTCTGCTCTCCGATTAATTTGATTTAATCCATTATCCATTCCACCGCCCGAACATCGAAGCTTGCAGTAAATTGTTCATTTTTATTTCCCAAATTTATTCTGACCAGACTCGACGTTTTTATTTTTTATCATTTTTTCACAATTTCAACGTGATGTTTGACTGCCATATGCTGTGGAACTGATGTGTTAATGCCTGATATAAACATCTAGGTTCTATATGCACAATTGTCGTAAACGGCTTGACTAGCTCTAAGCGGCAAGCAAATGACGTCATCATCACTTAAGATAGTATTTTAATCATTTACATCTAAACATCAAGCGCTATGATAAAAATAGACAAGTTTTCTTGAATTCGATAAAAACAGGATATATCTCATCTTCAAAATGTCTACTTCTTATTGGACAGTACCTGGTTCATCCTACTATGCTTTTTTTTTTTCTTAAATCAAAAACGGAGTATTCTTGTCATACCTAGGACAGAGCTACCAATAAAATCATTAACGCGGGTTGACCTTGGGGTCGTTGAATTATATTCAACCGCATTGAAAATACTTCAAAAAAAAAAAAATAAAAAAACCTATCGCTATTTCCATGGCAAATGTTCAGATGAGCTGCATTGCTTTGTTCTACCAGTTCAGACATTTACGGCTAAAATTTATTTGCTTTCAACGGAGCCAATTAAACAAACTTTTGAAACTTTTTTCCAAATCTAAATTGAAAGTTCTTTGTTTCATGGGTCAGTCGTGTATTTTTTTTCATTTATTTCCGCTAATGCTATACAGCAACTTCATTTCTCATCTAACACTTTTTCGTTATCAAATTATATTCCTTTCTCTTCCTTTCTTTTTTAAAAAAATTATTTTTTTTTTTCCTCATAATCTATTTCTGACCTCTTCTCATTCTATTGCCCCTCATCTCCTTCTTTTTCTCCTCTCTTCTTCCTCTCCTACTACCCACTTCTTTTCCTCTCCCGCGTTTCTTACTCTCCTGGTTGTTTTAGCTTTCTTTGTCATCCACTCTCACTCTTTGCGATTTTCTTATACCTCTCTTCTGCTCTCTCCGTCGGTTTGTTTTACCTCTCTTCTCCTCTTTCCCTCTCAAATTTTTTAAAATTCCGCTCTCTCTCTCTTTTTTTTTTTTCTCCCTCTTTTAATTTCTCTCTCTCTTACATGATTTTTTCTCTTCTGCTTTCTAAAAAAAACAGTTTTCCATCTCTTCCGCTCTCTCTCTCGGTTTGTTTTCCATCTCTTCCGCTCTCTCTCTCGGTTTGTTTTCCATCTTTTTAAAAAATCTCTCGGTTTTGTTTCCCTCTCTTCTTTCTCTCTCTCATTTTGTTTTCCTCTCTCTTTTTCCTCTCTCTCTCTTTGTTTCCCCCCTTTTTTTCTCTCTCTTTGTTTTTGGAAAGTATTTCTCTCCTATTTTGTTTTCCTCTCTTTTGAATGATTCTCAGTTTGTTTTCCTCTCTTCCGCTCTCTTTCGGTTTAAAGTCTCTCTCTTTTTAATTTCTCTCTTTTTGTTTTTTTGTTTTTCCTCTCTCTCTTTTTTTTTTCCTCTCTTCCGCTCTCTCTCTCGGTTTGTTTTCCCTCTCTTCCGCTCTCTCTCTCTGTTTGTTTTCCCTCTCTTCCGCTCTCTCTCTCTGTTTGTTTTCCCTCTCTTCCCTTTCTTCTCTCTTTTGTTTCCCTCTCTTCCACTTCTTTTCCCTTTTTTCCTCTCTTCTTCTCTCTCTCAGTTTTTTTTTTTTCTCTTCCTTTTCTCTCTCTCAGTTTGTTTCCCTTTTTTTTTTTTCTCTCAGTTTTGTTTTTTTTTTCTTCCGCTCTCTCTCTCTCTCTCTCTCTTTTGTTTCCCTCTCTTTTTTTTCTCTTCTCTCTCAATTTTTTTCCCCTCTCTTCCGCTTTCTCTCTCTCTTCTCTCTTTTTTTCTCCTTCTTTCTTTCTCTCTCTCTCTTTTTGTTTTCCCCCTCTTTTTTCTTCTCTTTTTTTTTTCCTCTTTTTTTCTCTCGCTTTCTCTCTCTCCATTCTTTTCCTTTCTTTCTCGGTTTGTTTTCTCTCTCTTCAATTTCTCTCTCTCTTTTCTTTTCTCTTTCCCTCTCTTTGTTTTTTCTTTCTCTCTCTCTCTCATTTTCTCTTCTTTTCTCTCTCTCCCTCTTTCTCTCTTTTCTCTCTCTCTCTCTTTTTCTTTTCCCTCTCTTTTGTTTTCTCTCTCTTCCAAAAATTTCTCTCTCTCTCTTTTTTTTTTCTTTCTCTTCTCTCTCTCTCTCTTCCTTTCTCTTTTTTCCCTCTCTTCCTTCTCTCTCTTTTCTCTCTCTCTCTCTCTCTCTTTTTTTTTCCTTTCTTTTTCTCTCTCTTTCTCTCTCTCTTTTTTTTTCTCTCTTTTCCGCCTCTCTCTCTCTCTCTTTCTCTTTCTTTCTTCCTTTCTCTCTCTCTCTCTCTCTCTCAATTTTTTTTCCTCTCTCTTCTCTCTCTTTCTTTCTTTTTTTCTTTTCTCTTTTTCTTTCTTTCTTTTCTTTTTTTCTCTTCTCTCTCTCTCTCTCTCTCTTTTTTTTTCTTTTCTCTCTTCTTTTTTTTCTCTCTCTCTTTCTCTCAGTTTGTTTTTTCCTCTTTCTCTCTCTCTCTCTCTTGTTTTTTTTCCCTCTCTTCTCTCTCTCTCTTTCTTCCTCTCTTTCTCTCTCAGTTTTGTTTCAGTTTGTTTTTTTCTTTTCCTCTCTCTCTCTCTCTCAATTTTTTTTTCCTCTCTTCCTTTCTCTCTCTCTCTCTCTCTCGGTTTTGTTTTTTCTCTTCCTCTCTCTCTCTCTCAGTTTTTTTTCTTTCCTCAATCTCTCTCTCATTTTTTTTGTTTTCTCTTTCCAATTCTTTTTCTCTCAACTAGTTTTCTTTTTCTCCCTCTCTCAATCTCTCAGTTTGTTTTTTTTCTTCCTTCTCTTCTCTGTTTGACTCAAAAGTTTGCTGCTTTCTTTTTTTGTTTCTTTTTTCTTTTCAATTTCTCTTTTCATTTCGACGTCTTTCGATCTTTTCTCTCTCTTCTTTCAACTCAACTTCCTCCTTTTTCTCTTTCTCCTCGGTTTGTTTTTCCTCTTTTTCTCTGCTCTCTCTCTCCGGTTTTGTTTTCCCTCTTTTTTTCTCTCTCGTTTTTTTTTCAAATCTCCTTTTTTGTTCTCTTACAAATTTTTTTTTTTTTCTTCTTTGTTTCCTCTTTTTTTCTCTCTCTTTGTTTCCTTTCCCTTCTCGTTTTTTACTTTCTTTTTTATTTCTTCCAGTCTTTTTGGCTTTGTTCCCTGTTCCTCTTTGATGAGATAACCTCTTCCCCTCTTCCTTCAAAAGTCCTTTTTCTTTTTTTGCAGTCTCATCCTCTTTTTCTTTCTTTTTTTCTTCTTTTTTTTTTTTCCTTTTTGTCTTTCTTTCTCTTTCTTTTGTCAGACTTTCTTTCTCTCTTTCTTCCTCTCTTTTTTCTTTCTTTCTTCCTTCTTTGTTTTTTCCTTTCTTTCCTTCTCTTCTTTGTTTTCCTTTCTTTCTTCCTCTCTTTTCTTTCTTTTGTTCTTCCTCTCTTCCTTTCTTTCTTTTTTTCCTCTCTCTTTGTTTCTTTTTCTTTCTTTCTTCCTCTCTTTGTTTCTTTCTTTCTTCCTCTCTTTGTTTCTTTCTTTCTTCCTCTCTTTGTTTCTTTCTTTCTTCCTCTCTTTGTTTCTTTCTTTCTTCCTCTCTTTGTTTCTTTCTTTCTTCCTCTCTTTGTTTCTTTTTGTTTGTTTGTTTGAGTTTTCTTTCTTTCTTTGTTTTTTTGTTTCTTCTTTCTTCCTCTCTTTCTTTCTTTTCTTTTCTTTCTTCCTCTCTTTGTTTTTATCTTTTGTTTCTTCCTCTCTTTGTTTTGTCTTTTTTCTTCCTCTCTTTGTTTCTTTCTTTCTTTCCTTCTTTGTTTGTTTTTCTTTCTTCTTTGTTTCTCTTTTTTCTTTCTTCCTCTCTTTGTTTCTCTCTTTCTTCCTCTCTTTGTTTCTTTTTTTCTTCCCCTCTTTTCTATTTCTTCCCCCCCTTTCTCCGTCTCTCTCGTTTTCTTTTCTCTACTTTCTTTTTCTCATTCGACTCATCTCTTCTATCCTCTTTTTTTCTTTGTTTCTCTGAAACATCAAAGGAATATTTTTATTTTTCCAAACCTATTCCTTCCTAAACGAAATTTCACTTTTCTTCTATCATCATCAGCATCATCATCATTGCCGATATTTGCCACTTTCATTTCTTGCCGATTCGTTTGATTACTTTAACCCAATATTCTACAATAATTCCATTCACTTTCATTCTCTATATTTCTTCTCTTTACTGTCATCGCTTTTTATCGTCTTCTTTAATTTTTTGCCGAGGAGTAAGGCTATATACATATATTTGTATAGAAAACAAAAATAACTAGATAAAAATCATTTTCCAAATGTCTCTCTCTCTCTCTCTCTCACCCTCTCTAAGCAGGAAAGGTGGGAGCCTGCACCTTGGTGTTTGTATAGTCTGTAAAAGACTGTTACATTGTAACTTGGTTCGTGTGATGTCGAATAGTGAAAGATGCTATCAAATTACGATTTTAAAAAAACAGAAGAAGAAAGATAGACGTCCTTTGATCAGCTTCACTATCGTGCCAACAATACTGCCTGTGTTTGCAAATATTGCACTGAACGAACGAAATAACCCCTTCCTCAACGTTCTAATGATACTGGTACCTGGGTGTATTTATTGGTGAAGGTATACAAACAAGCATATACGGATCTGCCAGAATGTTATACACTCGCAGGTGTTTGTTTAGTGTGTCCCAAGTTCTGGTGTTTGTTATATATACGTATATATACCTATATCGTAAGGCACGGAAAGAAGGGGAGAGTCAAAAATGATTTGACAACACTAGTAGTATTTGATGATCAGGCAAGGTTTGTAAGAAACGCTAAAGAACAAGAAAATGGATTTAATAAAAAGGTGTAATGCATATATTGAAATAAGCAAAACTCTGGAAATGCATGTCAGCAGAATGCCCGTTTCTGTAATCATGAAATCTTTGAGTGCTCAAAATATTGACTGATTTGTAGTCCATACGCGAACTACTTCGTGTGTGAATTCGGCGTAGTTGTGTGGTTCGTGTTGCGTCCCTGATTTCACCGAACCCAACCGAGGTTCATCTATACAAAGAAACTTCTATGAGTGCAGCCACCGTCAAGAATAAGAACTATGCCCCCAACTCAAACGCACATACGAAAAAAAAAATAGTGTTACTGGTACTGTGTAATCTAGCCCAACCATCTACATGGTTGGGTCATCGGCGACTAGACCGGTTCTCCCATCGGGCTTTTCTTGTGAAGACGGTGGCTAGACATTAAAAATACCTTAAGATTAAAAACAGGTCCTGTCAAAAGGCGGATGAACCTTCTTATAATTGCCAAAGACACGCTACACATGAACTCACAGGCTTTCAATCTAGATATTTAGAAGAAACTAGTCAGTTGTTTAGCTGTGTAATGACCCTACGGCCACACCCGTTCATGGGACTAGCTGACGATAAATTGTGGATGTCACCCGTATTTTTATACAAATGAAAAAAAAAAAGCATCTAGAGGAAACACGATGCAAGACGTCATTTATCTCTGTTGTGTCAATAAAGACGTCTTTTGTTTTGTTTTTTTAATACGAGATTATGTTCTGGGCAAATAAAAAAAAAAAAAAAGCATGGATTACAGGATGAACGCAGAGTGGATATGATTCTGTCATTCTTTGAATCTCATTTGTCTTGGCTGCACTGGGACTCTCCTTACACCCCATAATAATAATATTACTTTTTTTTTCTTTTCCTCTTTATATAGTTATTTTATCTACAGTTGATCAGAGGCTACGACGAGAAAATAATTTTTCAACGTTATCTTTCTATTCAGCATTTTATTGTTTAAGTTCTGATCATTGTTGCCTTGGCTTGTGCGGTCCGACCTATTTGACCAATGAGATCTTGCCTTCAACACAAGGCGACCCCTCCATACAGATATAGATATTTTTTTTTGCTCTTTCTTTTATTTGCGTATATGTTTTTTCTATCGAGTTTTCAATAGCTAGGGGGTGCTTATTTTTCTCATTAGCTGAGAGTTATTAATTTCACAACCAACTTAATGACTATTAATACACAAATGAAAAAAAAAGTAGAAAAGGAATAAATTTCAATACGGAGGTATTTTCATGTAGTTTTATATAACCAATAACTGATTAACAAAAGAGAGAAAACATACGAAAAGGTTATGATTATGACCGAACGGGCGTTTTGCTAGAAAAAGTGTTTGTGTGTGTGTGTTGAGGGCGGATAATCTCCATGGTTCTATTAATTGTTTTCTTATCCGTTTCATTGTGTAACCCGGATATAAGAGAAACCTGGATATAAGAGAGATTTTCTCTGGTCCCAAATTAGAGCCTGTGTTAATGTATATAAAATAGACCAAACCCGGATATAAGAGACTTCTTCTCCGGTCCCGACAACTCTCTTATATCCGGGTTACACTGTATATATGAAATGATAGAGGTAGTAAAAGATTTTAAAAAATGTACTACTTTTAAGAATTGCAGAGTCTAAGTGCTCTTAAATAAAGAGATATTTTTTGTTTTATAAGTCTTTCACTGTTTCTAGGCAGTTAGGTATCAGGTTTACTGTTTGTGGGATAGCGATATGCCTAGTCAAACACGCGTATTCATTTAAAAAAACACAATTTATTAAAATAATTCATTAAAAAAATCACGTCTTTACTAATATAGGTACCTCCAGAGATAAGCGATACTTAAGATTTCAAATGCATTTCTTTAAAATAAAAAAATATTTCTTGAAGCTTTTATTTAATGCATTTTTTAAAAATAAAAAAAAAATCTTGAAGCTTTCAATCTGATAGATTAAGTTTAATATTTCCAATAAGTAAAATACATTACTGCATTTCAAAATGAATTAAAATTGATTGGAATTACTTTTTTATTATCAGTAAAATCGTCCATATTGACAAATCTGTAAAATTCTCTTTATTAAAAAAATATTTCAAAAATAAAATACTTTTCCGAAACTTTATTTGAGGAAGATTAGTTGATTTAAAGTTTAATTAATCCGATTTGAAATAAGTATTTTCTTACTTTTAGTTTAAGATATCTCAGAAAAGCATTTTTAACACGGAGGTGTGTGTTTTACGAGGTGTTGATAACTCTCTCTCTCTCTCTCTCTAGAGAGAGAGAGAGAGACTTGTGTTTGGGAATTTATTTGAAATGTGAACATAACTAACAATTACTTGAAAAAATTAACATGGACGCCATTTTTATAATTATTTTTAACTACCCATTAATCTTAAAAACTTTAAGAAAATATTCTAAACGCTAATATTTTGTTGAATTTTGGGTACTTATGAAAAAATTTGTTGATGAAATCTTAGAAACTGACCAATAAAATTTAAACTTACTATAGTTACTGTTTTTATTTTCTGATAATATCGTGTATGGACGTCCATATTTACAAAAATCAGCACGTTTATGTACACTTTTTTTTCTTAAATATAAACAATTGTAGAAATTCATTATTCATCGAACATTTTTTTTCTAAAGACAATAATGTTCATAATATATCTTATTCATACGAGCAATTAAAAGCATTCCTATTGAAATACTGTCCCTTTTTTTCTTTTTCTTTTTCTTTTTGCATTTTTTATTTTACGATTCAGAGCAGATTTACTGTAAATAGGTATCCTGTTTGGCCAAAAAGGTTTCATGATTTAAATTCTCCGAGGACTTGTCCTTAAAACAAATATAAGCATTAAGCGAAAGAATTAAAGAAGAATTTCTCGAAATTTCATAAAATTAAATAAGTGACAGTTAAAAGATTTTAAAAATATATACACTTTTATAAAAAAAATTCTAAAAAGAAACATTTCAGATTAATTTAATTCATTTGTGAGTAAGTCCTGAATGTTTTATTAAAACTCGACAATTATCAGATTTTTGCAATCATTTCTTAATTAGTATGCCTTGCACCAACAAAAGTAGATAAAATTTCCTATAATATTTTATGGCCATTCGCTGATGCAAGAAAAAAAATTAACCAAAATTTCAAACATTCTAAAAAAGATAAAAATATTATGTAATAATCAAAAATCCTTTTGTCTTTCTTTTTAATAATAAAGATTTCGAGAATAAAACTTTGTTTTTATTAAATTTGAGTCCTTTTTTCATTATGTATTCGCATTTTTTTTTAGCGAATCTTTGGAGGTACTCATAGTAATATATGTACATACATACGCTTGTCAATTCAATATTTAAATCGTTTTCTTACAATTTCCTTTTTTTTTTTTTTGTTTCGCAACAAATTATGCGGCACTTATTTCGATTAACTTTTTACTTGGAACGATTATTTCGTTACTTCCGTAAATGTAAAACGTCTTTGTTGTCAATAATATAAATGGCAGATTCCTATAAAAGGCACTGTTGATTATTTACGGTTAATTTGTTTAAATAATACACTGGCTATTGTTTTCGTCACGTGGCAATAATTCTAAGTAAAATGATGCACTAAATAAGTAATAAAATAATCGTTTAAAGTTCTCTGAATATTGGTGCTCTTTATCTCTTTTAGCAACTTTGCTTTTTTTTCTTCTCTTAAATTTACACCTTTTCCTTTTCTTTGCTGCTGTTCCTTGTCTTTTACGGATTTTTTTTTTTTTTTTTAGAATATTGAGATTCTCTTTTTTTCACTTTGTTTCATTTTCTTTATTATCTTTTCCTTTCCGTCGCATTCATTTGTTTTTTCTGTCTTTACAATACAGTATTTTAATTTTTTTTTTTTTTTTTTTCAATTTTTATAAAATTTGAGCATTTTATAAAATATGAGCATATTTTGCCTTTCTTTGTTTGTAATATATATATATATATATATATATTTTTAAGGTGCTATATTTGTGGGATCAAGCGCTCAATATCAGAGACAGAGCGTATGTAAATATAAATATAAAAGTGAACATTGAAGTCAGCACTCAGAGGCGACAGGCTATCATGCTGGAAGCAATCGTCAGTCCGCCTGAAGATTGCGTCCAGCATGAAACAGCCTGTCGCCACGGAGTACTGACTTTAATGTCCACTTATAT